ATATTGAGAAAAAGATGTCGGAAAGTATAAAGAAAGGTAATTTTTAATTAGGTTAAATTATGAGGAAATGGTCTAAAATAATATAAAGAATATGAAGAATGGAGTTAAAGAAGTATCCCGAATCATATATAAATATTCTTAATTTAGGTTTGCATTTTTACAAAATTATCTTAAGGTAATAATAGTATATATATATCTGATGTACCAGCTTTTGTCAGGAATAAATAGATTGTTGAAGAATCATCAATGTAGTCGTAGCTTAAATTATCAGATGATAGTTTTAAAAAACAGGATCCATTTATTATATTTCAGGAGAAAATAGCAATTACAAAAATCTGATCTCCGGAGTAAATAAAAAAGAACTACTAATAATATTTTGTATGAATTTTACTGCATTGTGACATTTAAGAAAAAACCCTGATATTCCTTTTGTGAGTCTTTTTATAGCCTCTGGAAAGGCGGAGCTTCCAAGAAATGACGTCAGCCAATCCAGTTCGCTTTAAATATCTCGAGAACATTCTATAACTGTACGTGTAGAAAAGGCGGAAAAAACAACTTGACTACGGGGCTGTGGATTTAATTCCACGTATTTTCAAATAAGAGAACGTCGCCATTAAAAATGAAAAGAACATACAGCTAGAATTTTAAAAGTGTATTCTTGACTATGGAATTTATTATTACATATATATATGTATATTAATATCTGAAATATAATGAATCTGAAGATAGAGTATGGAAGAAATTTTCAAAATGAATACAGTACAAAGTTTTTCCCTCCTTTTTTTTTTTTTTTTTTTTTTTTTTTCCAAAATATTTCTGGCTTTTTGCTGTTACGGAGTTGGTAGGGATAATTTTCTTTAGGATTTTAGACATTGCAGCTTGGAAAGTTTAGAAGGATTTGAAGGCAAGATTTATAGACACACGATTCTAGAAGATTCGAGAAATATATGATAAAATGGAAAATGTCTCCATGGTATCAACATGTAATAGATGTATTTTACAGAAAGTTTGCAATGAATTTCTTTCTTTTTGAAGAAGATTCTTCTGGAAGAAGATTGAAAACATAATATATGAATGTTTTACTTCTGATACTATAATCTTTTATCTTATCACACGGGCAGGCATTATAGAAAGGGATTTTTTTTAATAAAGAAATTGAAAGCTTAATATGTTTTAATGCATCATGCACAGAACTGGCTCTAGGCATTTTCCCACCTGATGCAAGGAAACGTGCTGAAGAAAGAAACTGAATACATACAGAAAAGTATTCTTCAAAGATATAGTGCAGTTAATTATTATGTAAATTACCCAACTGCTCATGATTTCAGCTATTACTTATAATTTTCCATTTCTATTTCTTCATATGATAGAGTTACTGAGCCAGATTAAATTAAAATTAAATTGTATAATCTTTGACCATTAGTCCATTTTTTTAGTTTGAATTTGACTGTTCTTGTTTAATTATATCACCACGAACTGTAATTGATTTTGTTAGCATCAGAACATGCCTTTATATTTTAAGTTCTTTTTAAATAAGAGGCTTATTTAAACCTTTGTCTGATACTGTAGTCACTTTCAGACATAGCAATAATGTGCTTCACGTCTGTCGGGAGGTTTTGGACTATTTAACTTTTACCAGATCAAGTAAACCCTCTTAGGTACATTGTGGAGAGGTTGATAAGTTAGGAGAGAAGGCATGCAGAAACTAGCAAGAGCACTGGTTTGCATATTGAAACAAATCTCTAGTTGTTAGAAAAGAAGCTTAAAGAGAAGGAAATTGAATATAAACTAGCCAAAATGTTTGGGAAGTCTTCAAATTAAAATGACGGATAAATATTTTGTTGAGTGTCGTCGTAACAAAACATAAATGTTTTTTAGCTTATAAGCTATTTCTCCCTCCTTCTTAGTCAGCCTTCATGGTGTAGTGGTCTGCATGCTCAGCGCATAATTGAGAGGTCAGCCGTTAGATTCCTGGAAAAACGTTGCTGATTTTTCATCTTGCCTGCTTCCAAAAATACTTAATGTCTCTACAATGGCACCCAAACTAAAAGGGTGATGGATGATGATTCTCCTCACCCAAGATTTGGCGATTGGGTCCTCTAAAAAAAACCCAGCTGCCCTTTAAAGAGGAAGTATATAAGGTATTTCTCCCGCCTTCGTGGTATAGTGGTCTGCACGTTCAGCACGTAATTGAGATGTCCACGGCTCAATTCCTGGCGAAGGCGCTGCTAATTTTTCATCTTCCCTGCTTTCAAAAATACCTAAGTCTCTACGAGCTTTTAATGTGTAATTATCCTAATATTGTTTAAGAATCAAAGTCATAAATTGCATGCATTTTAAACTGTGAAATTTTATTAGATTTTGATTTTAATAGGGCTTTTTTAACAAATATTATTAAAAAATAAAATTTAATAGTGGCCATGTAAATCCATAATGACTAAGTTTATCTAACTACCTAATTTAATTATTTGTAACTAACTGCTTACCTGTAAAAATTATCTCTACATATTAAAGCATTATTGCCTTTCATTAATACTCACTGTGATCACAAGATAAAACACAAAAATGTAAAAATTCAAGTAAAACTTATTCTTTGCATCTAGTGAGACTTAAAATAATACAAAACAATTTATCACCTCTGGTGCTTTAATGGCTTATTGAAACGTTGAAGTATATTAACTGGGTTACAACTCCTGAAACTCTACATGGAACTACGAAACTGACTGCGTCAAACAGAGTCTGACTAACTTTCAGAACTTGCCAAACATGCCTACATCAGGCCTTTCAGATTTGTTCTGATCCGCAGGTCTCTCTCTAGACAAGCATCAGCGGTGGCAACATTCAGTCTTTTGTTATGAATCATGCTGATTATGATCTTACTTTTCATTTTAACCTATGCCATTTGACATAAAATATACCTGCTATTTACTAAACCTCTAGACTGACCAAGTTTGTGACAAAATGAGACAACATAAATCTAACTGTTAGTAAATCGTAAATGTCACTTATCGTCTTTCAAATAGGACCAACTATTATAAATGTAATATATTTAATGCTAATTGATAAATTGCATAAAGTTTATTTTACTCTAAAACTATTATAATGTTAGTAATAATGCAACTACTTAGGGATCTGTTTTATTTTAGGATGTATTAAAAGTGAAATCATATTTTAAATTTAATTGAATTTTTCAGTTCCATTTGCTAATAGTCCTTAACTTTTTTCATTAATGGTCCTTAAAAGTACTTATTTTCCATGTGCAGAAATGTGTACGAACCCTTAAAAATATGAAATTGTGATTTATTAAATAATGAAGCATCTATGATCTAAAGGGTATCAAAATTTACAAAAGAAAGCTTAATATTTATCTGTTTACTTTATTAACCATTTCTTTAAATATAAATTGTTTAAGTTGCTTCATTTTTTGTGCTTATATGTTCTCTTCAATTCTGTAGACAGACATAATTTCTTCTTCAGTTACAAAGTTCTATTGTTCAAGTCTTGTAGTTGCTATCTCAAGAATTCTGACTAACTTGTCATTCAAAATTTTTTCATTTTCAATAACCTCTTGTCACGTTCTTCACTATTGGTAGCGGTATTTTCTGGATCTAGAACGCTACTACAGATTTCGCCGTCCATTAATTGATTGATGATTGAAACATTTCCATCACAATAAAAACTTCTATTGTATCATCTTCACTTATTACCGCTTCTCCACATATCTTTACAAAATCCATAAATTTGAAAAGCAGATATGCAACTACAGAGCCAAATTATTGATCCATAAATTTATACTAAAATGATTGTTTCTTCAATAACGAGGTATTTTATTCAGTACCGAAGTGAAATTAAGAATTGGAATTCTCCACATGCTTTCTTACGGCGGAAAAAATCAATTACGCATGTGTAAAGCATTAAAAAAATTTTGTTGGTGTCTTTAAGATCTGAATATTGGACGTCCGGATCTTGGACTTTGTACTGTATTATATTTTATTTCATACTTAAATTTTAGCATCAGCTCTGTATTTATGTTTCAGTATTTTAAAATGGTGTATTTATTATAATCATATAATTCAACTCTGCATTTCACAGGTAATTTCACTATTATTTCTAAAATATTCTTGCTCTTAATTCGTATAAATGTAAATTTTATGCACAACCATCTTTTTAACATTAAATATTGATCAAATTCATCCTTAAGTTGGTGTTTATGTCAAATGAAATGTCTCAGTAAATTAAATAATGCAAAATTTAATTTTCCCATTGGTGTGCATTGTTACATTTTTTTTCCCAGCAATTATGCTGATTTTAATTTTATTTCTGAAACGAATGATTGTTACAATATACAGGAACTCTGATGATAATGAGGATAGTCGACATTCTGAGGTTACCTAATCTCAGAATAGTGGGCTTATCTAAGCCCCTATTAGATTAAGGGAAAACTGCATATGTTTGGAATTCTATACCATAAACGCTCTCATTTGATATAAATTTGAAATAAAAATATCTTTGTAATATGATTTATAAATTAATATTATTTTCTAGTGTTAAATTTTTTAGTGCTTGAAGAGCTGTAGTGGTAGCTTGTAATGATCTGCATCAGATCAGAGGTAAACGACTGATTTGAAAGTTAAATTATTTTCCAGATCAAATTTATGCAAGATTAACTTTTTAATGTTTGAGAAGGTTTAGTAGTAATGTAATGATTTGCATGTATAGGGGCTAAAGAATGGTTTTAAAGTTAATTTTGATTAGAAATATGTATCTAGATGATATTAACAAATTTTATTTTCCTTTTTAAAGTACGTATTAATAGTAAATCATTTGGAAAGACATTCATTTGAAAAATTGCATCCAGTTTGTAGCTTTTTCTTTTCTATTGTCATGACAGATACAGCATTTATTAATTTTGTTATGTTTATTTTCATTTTAGTTGTAAGATGTAATTATAAGTATAATTGTATAATAAAGTTCAAAACTATTAATTTTATTTTCCTCAGGTTCCTTAGTGGTGAAGTGAAGATTCATTTCCTCTCCATAATTTCTCTTACTAGCAGCTAGCAATGTTTTTCTGGTATCTGAAAAATTCAGCTTCATGTGTAAAAGCTTTACACACATTAATTCACTGAGTGTATTTTCTACTTTTGGATTTGTATTTCAGTGTTTTAAACTGCTTATATAGGCTCAGAATTTAAAAATATTTTTTCATTGTGTTTGGATCAAATGCTTTGCTTAAATTAAATAAACCAAACTTGGATCTGGAAGCTGCATGGCTATGTTCTAATCTGTGATATGTCAGCTTAAGTAAAATAGCATTAAGTTTGTTAAGTGTTTAAGGTAGTCTGGCTAATTTAAATTAAGCAAAATGAGTTGCAAAAAAATAAAAATTCTCCAAAAAATGAGAGTGGAATTTTTTAGATTCTGCCCATATCTGATAATTACTCTCTTGGCAACATTTATTGGTTTAGATTTTTTTTATTCTATAAGCTAACAAAAAATATGTTCCATGTTTCTCATGTATAGCAATGTTTGTTTGAATTATCAACCAGTATTTGATACATTTCCTGACTGTTTAAATAATGAAATGAAAATATGAAAGTAGTATTTAGGGAACAGGGCAAATTCTATTTTATATCTGTCTTTAATAAGGTGATAAAATGGTGCAAGTGTATTAACATTTAAAATTAATGTTAGAGTTACAGAGTCATAATAATGGAAAACCTGCCATCATGCAGCTGGCACAGTTTAACAAAAAAAAAATTTGAACAGTTTGATAAGCTAACCATTTCGTCCTGAAGTTTACAAAAAACGTCATTGAATTGAGATTGTTAGTTAAATCAGAATATATTAAAATAGACATAATGTGGGAGACTTTTTTGTTATTATTTTATTCCACATATATATGGAATTTTTTAAATTTTATTCACAATGAATCATTGTGAAAAATAGAAACCTGATAGTAAAATTTATTCCCATTGTCAAAAAGTTTCCATTCTCTCAACCAAAAATTTTATCACCATTTTGGACAGTTGACTGTTTTCATATTTCATCAAAATTTTTTTTTTTTTTTTTTTTTTTTTTTTGTCTTTGGACTAGAAAGAGTATTTATGGACAGGATTTATTGCATTTTCACTTATTTTTAACATTGGATGCACTGTTTACATTATTATCATACATTGTACTCAGAATGCCAATAAAAGTTCTGTGAAATTTTATTCAACCCTTTGGCAGATTTTACCATTCTTTCAATAATATTAGATTGTGTTTGTCTGCATCTTGTAATAAAAATTTCTGATATTTTGAAGCAGAGACTAACAAGGGGGATTAGACTCATATGGGTGCACAGACAGCCTATCTCCCAAAAAAATTCTGAAATGAAGAAGGCTTTTTATTTAAGTATGGTGTAATGGGTTAAAGTGTGGATAATAGACATTCATGTGTACAGAACTCATGTATAGTTTTAAAATGCATCCATATTTTTGTTTAAATGTTATTGGCTTCTTTATTTTGTTTAAATACTAAAATTCTGCAGTTTAGATGTTGGAGTGTAATGTGCTTTTTTTTATAAAATTTCAAAAATTTGAAATTTTGTAAAAATAACATTTATCTGAAAGTATAATTTTAACTTCATGAAAAATTTAAATAATTATGAAACCTTGTTTTTTGACTTTTGAATGATTAATATTTCTGTAGATCTGTAAATTTAATGTGAGCATTGTTTATGACATAAACAGAGATATAATTTAATGCTGTGAAAATGACTTTCATCTTATATTATTAAAAATAACTAAAATATGTTAGTTTGTGATGAGAAAATCACTCAGAAATTGTTATACAGCATAATGTCTATTTTACTGCTATGAAATATAGGTCAGTTTAATAGAACTGCAAAAATAATTATTTGTTTGCTGATTAGAAAATAGTCAATAAATCATGACATCTGCATTTTTAATTATTTTATTAGCCATTGTTAGGTCTGGCTCGCCAATGATTTTATACTGAATCCTTTTCCATGAATATTTGTTTCCTAAGTTTTGCTTTGTAACCATGACAAATAAGCCATTAAAACATCTTCTAAGTTCCAGAAAATGTGGTGTATGATAATGTTATTTAAATTGAGACATGTTTTGATTCTTCAAGCATTAAAAAGGTGTAAAGTTTTTCCTGATTGTTCCCAATCCCAGTTTCAGCAATCAGTATTGTGTTTTGCCATATTTTCTTGTATGCATGCAGAAATAACCAACCCATGTATGTACATGGTTGAGTGCACATTAATTTACATTTTAAAAATATTACTCATCTCTCTAATCAATCCATCCTTTAAAGTCCTTTTTTAAAATTATTTTATTTTATTTATTTATTTTGTTGGAATGGATCATAATAGGACTGTAAAATTGTACTTCTTATAAATGACTGAATTTAATGGAAATGGAATGTCAAAACTGCAAGCAAAGTATTAGAATGCATGCTAGAAATTGGTTTGAAAATAATAGTATCTCCTTTAGAACACCTATCTGCTTTTTTTACTTTTGGCTAAAGAATGTGTATAAGTCAAATTCTATAAAGAAGAACTGTGATTGTCACCCAACATGTGTAACAAAGGAAACATCTATGGTGGCTGTTCCAGATAGAAGAGTTTTTTTAACCATTGGCAGGCCCACAGCTGACTTTGGATTGGTCAAGAGTCAAGGCCAGAGGTGGTGGTCACTTTATTATGGAGGCACCTAATAGGTGGGCCACCTTTGCATCCTATGAAGGGATGGACAGTTACAACCATGCCTTGTCTGGGATTCGAACCTGGGCCCTTTGGTATCACAGTCGGCTTCCCTAACTACTATACCCTGTGGGTGGCACACATAGAACAGTAGGAGCATTGATTGCAGAAATCCAAATGTGCATGAAAGGAAGAACAGTCATCTTTTCCAAAGGCTGGAAAAAGTGCAACACCCATGAATTGTGAGAAACCAGCTACAAGCCTAAGAAGGGGAGCAACAAGTATAATTTTATGGGCTGTGGGAAATAATATTGTATTTTATGGCATGTGTTATTCTAGATTCTACTAACTGTGATTGAAGAGTGTAAATTAAAGTTTTAAGGCTAAAAAACTTTCAGCGAGAATCTTTCTTGATCATGAATGAAATTAAAGTTTATTGATTTCTCTAAAACTATAACTTATTTCAAATTAAGACCAATTGTGTGTTTTGTTAGAATGGTTAGGTAATATACGTTATTGGTATTTGTATTAAATTTTCTGGGTTTTAATGTTTTAGGTAAGTAGAATGACCTTGATGAAATTAAGAATTCTGTTCACCTTTCTTAATTATTATATTTTTGACAAAAAATTAGAGTATTAAAATAAAATTTAATATCGTTTTATAATTTTTAGGTAAACTTTCATATAGTATTGAAGAATACATTGCAGAGACTAGTACAAGTGAAGGAACTGTCTATAGTTGCCCATATTGCTCATATGTTACTATTTGGAAAGCAGCTGTTAAACCACATATGCGTATTCACACTGGTGAAAGACCTTTCTCATGTGATATTTGTTTCAAGACTTTTCGTCGTAGTTGTGATCTAAGAAGGCATTTTTTAATCCATTCAAAAATACCAATTTAATGTATATTTGCTTAAAGTTAACAGAAGTTTGCGATATATTAAAAATATACAAACAATAAAATTGCTACCCAAGTAGCACAGCAACGTCGTAATGACATTGCAAAAACGTTGCAATATGTCGTCTTTAAGATACCCAGATAACCGCGAACATCCACTGTTGCACAGATGTCTTTATTACGTCTTTGCAGATGAGGTTTTTGTCGCATAGATGTTGTTATTGAGTCTTTTGCAGGTAATATTTTGGTTGTGAAAGCATTGTATCACAACGTCTTAAAGACGCCTAAATATTCGCAAAATTCCACCTTTTTGCAACATTTGTGAAAATGTCATTATTTTGTCCTTTTGTTACATATTGATTTATGCAGAAAAATAAGCTTAATAATTCATATATTTTTCTTCTTTTTTAAAATTTTGTATTTCTTGTATTTATATAAAGTTTAAATATTTTATCATTTCCTGAAAACCGGAAGATATACAATTTTTTCTCTTTAGACTAATATGCATAATTAATACAGTCAAAAGTCGTTAATAATCCGGACTCGTCGGGACTTCGGCGATTCCGGATTATCGATTTTTTTCCGGATTATAGATCATCAGTTTAAATCTGGTAAGATGGCATGCAGAAATTACAAATTAAAAATATGAAACCGTAATTTATGAAATAAAGAACAATTATGATCTAAGGGTATCAAAATTTACAAAAAGAAAAAGCTTAATATTTATTTGTTTACTTTATTAAACATTTCCTTTCAATGTAAGTTGCTTTCGTTTCATGTGATAATACTTTCTCTTTAATTCTATTAAACAGACATAATTTCTTGTTTAGTTACAAAGTTCCGCTGTTCAAGTCCTATAATTGCTGTGTTGAGAATACCGACTAATTTGTCAATCGAAATGTTTTCGTTTTCAATAACCTCTGGGTCACTTTCTTCACTATCGGAAGCGAATTATAATGATGACGAGGAACTTGAATTTAAATCATATCAAAGACGGAGTACATCGAGACGAAATACTAAACTTAGTACGGAATTATAATCCAAATAAAATAAAAACATCTGCTCTGAAGATAAGATAGTGTTGACAGATCAACTTCCAATCCCGCGTGAAATTCATAAACAGATTTCGGATTTCAAACATACTTTCGCTTTGTAGATACAATTACATATTAGTAAATATATATCGGAAATTCTATTTGACATAATCTTTCTAATCTATCATAATATATAATGACGTTCTCTTTTCTGCCCCACCTCTCTGCCGCAGAGCACGTGAAATTGATAAACAGATTTCGGATTTCAAAACATACTTTCGCTTTGTAGTAAATATATATCGGAAATTCTATTTGACATAATCGAAAGTTCAACTTACTTTTATAAAATTGCTCTAACAGTCTGCAAAAAATAATAAGCTGATCCAATTCGAAGATTAAGGAACAACGCAATCTGCAACATTAACTGAATAGATAACTTTAGCTTAGCGTATAACTCCGTTAAACA